ATTGATGTCTGGTCCCTCTCAGTCCCAAGAGCGAACAACCCCCAAAACAAAGAGCACAAACAAAAGCCTTCCCCGCACCAAGATTTGAAAGTATCTTGTCCCCTTATTGGTCCTTTGGGTCAGATGTCAGCCAGGTTACCTGAGCTTCTTAACTCTTTACAGGTAAAAGGATTTTGGAGTCTCTGGCCAGGAGGGATTTTATAGTATTGTACACAAGAGGGCTGTTACCCTTCCCTTTATAGTTATGACATCTTTAGTTCAATATTTAGATTATTTATTTCATAAGATTTTTCAAGGAAAAGGACCATTTAATTTTAATTTTGGTAAAGATCCATGCAGATTTATGGTGCTAAGTAAATGTTAATTTAGAGTAGTGGATTTTTGAAATATATTGTGTAAAAAGTATGTCTTTATTGCAGACATGGCAAATATGTACACTCTGCTTCGTGCTGTGTCAAGTGGTTTACCTCATATGATTCAGGAACTACAAAACCATATCCATGATGAGGGCCTTAGAGCAACCAGCAATCTTTCTCAGGAAAATGTAAGTTTCCTGTGGCAGCTGAGTTAACCTATCCTATTACATTCCTGATGAAATCTTTGTTTTCTTCCCTAGGCTGATTTAGTTTATTGCCTACAGACGAGTGGTGGCATTGAACAGAAACATCAGTATCATGTTGTAACTTATAAAACACCCTATTAACCATTGTTATTTTTTTAAATCTTGTTTATTTTAAATAGATTTGGAACTTTGTGCACAAATTGCAGTTTTTGATCATCTCTCAATTGTGTAATGCATCAATTCAGGCTTTTTAATTTCTTCTTGCTGGATCAACTTGATCAATATTTTTTTAATAATTGTGTAAAGTCGTCATGACAAATGGCCTTCTGCTGTTAAAAGGTGCTCTTGTTCTGCTAAATTTTGTTCCTAGACGGTTGTTAATGGGCTGTTTTGGTTCATTAGGAAACAAAAATATCACTTGGTTTGATTAAATGTTATTTATTTGTAAGTATGGGCATCCTGTGCTAGTACCAGGAAAGTCTTTTTCACTTAGTTGCTGTATAGTAGCAGCTGTACAGCTGCATAGTCCCACATTTGCATCAGAATTTCTGAAAGTACTTTGACTATTCAGTTGTTCTGCTAAAATGTTTTTGTTAAACCTGATTTGATTAGTTCATTTTTTTTAAGTACTCGCTTCTTATATCCACATGTGGAATGTGCTTGTGGCACTGCTGTTGTAGAAAAGCAGGGCTTCCACCTGCAGTTCTGTTCACATGTTTATACAGCACTACTTTCAACTTGGCATCTAGATCTGATGTTCGCTTTTGGAGGGCAGTTCCTGTCATACTTTTTTAAATTAGAACTCTCAGCCCACTTTTCTAGAAGGTGGTACTGTTGTTTAGACTCTCAAGTGTCAATATGCAGATGCTACCTTGAAGAAGAAAGCTGACTTATTTTAATGACTCTGGTTTCTCAAACATTGCATTTGCATATTCACATTATACTCTTCTTCAGAGTACTGCCCAAAGATTTTAGGATTTAGAGCAGCTGCTCCTAAACTTTATAGGGTTAAACGTAACTTTCTTAAAAAATTTGTTGTGAAGTGAACGGATGAAGCATCAAGCTCATATACCAGCATTGGTATGTGTTTCACAGTTTGGGAACCCCTGGTTTAGAAGAGAGGCTTGGGGTTGACATCCACTTATAATCTTAATTCTGAAAGATTGGTTCCACATTTCATGCCATGTTTTGGTGCTTAGGTCTAAGGGAACATCTTCTCCAGGCCATTCCCAAAACTCAACAGTGCCATGGCTGCATCCTACTAATGTGAATATGCAAGAGAAACTGTCTTTTAGGCCTGGTCCACACTAACCCCCCACTTCGAACTAAGGTACGCAAATTCAGCTACGTTAATAACGTAGCTGAATTCGAAGTACCTTAGTTCAAACTTACCACGGGTCCAGACGCGGCAGGCAGGCTCCCCCGTCAATGCCGCGTACTCCTCTCGCAGAGCTGGAGTACCGGTGTCGACGGCAAGCACTTCCGGGATCGATCCGGGATCGATTATCGCGTCTAGACAAGATGCGATAAATCGATCCCAGAAGATCGATTGCTTACCGCCGGACCCGTAGGTAAGTGTAGACCTACCCAAAGACTCAGTTACTTGTTAGTGACTTTGATTTTTGGTGATAATCTTCCTCCAGAATAACCATGACAATCTATTTATATTAATTTTTTACATTTTTGTATAGCTATTGAATTTTTTGATAAACCTGTTTTCTGTATTGTGTATTTTTAGATGCCAACTCAGTTTGTGGAGTCAGTTTTGGAAGTACATAGTAAATTTGTTCAACTTATCAACACCGTTTTGAATGGTGACCAGCACTTTATGAGTGCCCTTGACAAGGTAATTTTTCACAATATAATAAACACTGCACTCCAGAATATGTAATCCTTTTTTTTTTCACCAGAGTGTAGTAGAGTTCGTTGTTCAACAATAAAACAATAGCTTGGAGGGAACTCTCATGGAGTTCTCTTGTTTTAAAGCAAAGGAAAAAAAACTTAAGTAATTTAGTACTCACAAAAACAGATCCTGTGTACAAAGGAAACAGTCACGTTTTTTCCAACCATTGGTACTCAAATTTGAGCTTCTAGGAGTTTTGTCCATTTTTGTCACATCATATATTTTGTTAATACAAGGCTTTTCAGGAGTTTGTAGCCATGTATCAGGATGTTGCTGAACCACATGCTGCACTGTGCAGAGGAGTTACAGGTTTGACCATATTCCTGTACAGATGAGTTTTCGCTTTAAGCTTCATAATGTAATATAGAAAGTTAATGGTTATCTGTGGTGATAAATATTGCCTATATCATATGTCCATTAAATGTTTGTTGAATTTTGAAGCTTAAAATCCCATATCTACATATACAGAGTATAGACAAGGTTCCTTCCAGAGAAGGCCTCTGTAACCCCTCTCCTCCAAGGACATCATGTGATTCAGCAATGTGCTGATGTTCAGCACTATGTCCTGTGGAGCCTATAAGGGAAAAAAACCAAACTCCAAACTCCTGAAAAACACTAAAAACACAGGAGTAGAGAGCCTCAGTGAAGCCCTTCTGCTTGATTTCTTTGGAAAAGAACTTGTGACTCAAAAATCCTTGAATGTATATGTAGTTCACAGGAACTGGTGTATTGTGTTTTTTTGGTTTTGCATATACTCAAATTGTGTTGCAATTATTTCAGTAAGACTTAAATATGAACCGCTCTTCAGAATACTAATGTTCACAACTCTGTTACTCTTTTCATCACTTATGCCCTGATTCTGAGTTATCATTAATTCCCTTTTCTTCTCCCTCACATTCAGACTCTCTCCAGATCTCATCTTTACCATAATGTTTCAAAGATATGCCTCTTCCGCTTCTCCCCATAGTCCTTTAGATGCTGAGATACTTTTACAGTCTGCAGTCTCCCCCTGAAGTTCAGACATATGCTACTAACTTAAGGCTTTGCCACTGCTTCTTGTATCTAATTTGCTCTCTCTTTTCACTCCCCACTGCTCCCTTTGTGTTCTCCCGCGCTCATGTTTGTTCATCCTGCTCTCTATTTTTGGAACATCTTTCTTCCTCTTCACCTTGCATCCTCTCTCCTCCTTTGCTTTCCTAATCAAAACAATTCTGTGACCTTGCTTTCCAAAGCTGACTTGCTCACCTGTGCTATTTACTCCTCCCCTTTGGTCCTTCCACAGTCTCACTTAATAAATATCACCGCTTATGATTTGCTCATCGTATACTGTTTCACATTGTGTGTCAATCATTATCTCCCTCTTCTTGTCCATTTTTCTGTTCTATGTTTGTCTTTTTTTAGGATAGTCTTTGCCCTGAAGAACTTGCAATGTCTTCATACCTCTATATAAATCACCAAAGCAAAAGTTAAAGTATTTCTTAAAATTTTTCTTTATTGTGTATTTCTACATAGGCTCTAACATCAGTAGTAAACTATAGGGAACCCAAGTCGATCTGCAAAGCACCTGAGCTGGTAAGTAACAAATATTGTGCTGTAATAGTTGTAGTAGTTTAAAACAAAAACCCAAACCCTCAAACCAGTCATTATTAACACATGGTGGTCGCCAAATTAAAATAATTTTCACTTACTGAATCATCTTCAAAAATCTTTTTTAAAAATAAGCATTTAACCTATTTAACCCACACAAAATGTGCATGTTCTGGGCACACAATTTTACATGTTTTTGTTTCAAAATATGGCCCTTTGTCTCTTGTTTGTGTCATTTGTAATCTGAGCTCTGTCAGTCATGTTTTAACCCATATTTAATAGTTGCAAATACTTTCAAACACTGTTGTTCTCTAGCTTGACAAGTAGATTTTGTTTTGCTTTTTGTTTTTTTTTACTTGAGCTGGCCAAGTATTGTGACAACTTGCTGAAGAAATCAGCCAAAGGAATGACAGAGAATGAAGTAGAAGATAAACTTACAAGTTTCATTACTGTTTTCAAATACATTGATGACAAAGACGTTTTCCAGAAGGTAACCTCCAATTTTTAGTAAATGTTAAACAAAAATGTAATTTATCTAAAAAGCTTTACATTGGATGTTTGTGTTCACATTATTTTTTAAAAAAATCCTCACAGCTGAGAAAATATTTTGCTTACCTTGTTTTGTTTCATACAGTTCTATGCCAGAATGTTGGCAAAACGATTAATTCATGGTTTATCTATGTCTATGGACTCAGAAGAAGCCATGATTAATAAACTAAAGGTAATATGAACTATTATTTCAAAATAATATAAATAGCAGTAATAACTGTTGAAGCATGTCTTGTTTAAGAGGGGTCAGCAAAGGGTGCCAAAATTAATTTAGCAATTGGTGCTCCTGTTGCCAGTAGGTGATATTAAGAATTGCAACGTCATCTGTTCTGAATTCATGTACTGATACACGCAAAACCCATTACTTGGAAAACCCCAAATATTATAAGTAGTTCCTTATTTTGGGAAGTTGTATAAAATGTGCCACTTAATCCATAATTCCATAATCAATACCAGTCAGTGAGCAAAACTAAGGCAGTCCATTCGAAATTTTCAGTTTTGTAAGTTAGTATTGGGCATGGACAATTTTTAGAAATAAATTGTGTAGAAAAGCAACCCTCTTAAGACAGGTTCTATAATTTTACATATGAAGGCAATATTGACTATAGATGATGGCATTAGCAATATAGAAATCTGTAAATCAGTACTGTTTTGTGGATGTATTCATAATTTATTTTTTTTAAATAAATGTGTCTAATATATTAAAATAATTACCTTACCTATGATATGTATTTAAATATTTCATTACAGCAAGCCTGTGGTTATGAGTTTACCAGCAAGCTCCATCGAATGTATACAGACATGAGCGTTAGCGCTGATCTCAACAATAAATTCAACAACTTTATCAAAAACCAGGATGCCATTATAGATTTGGGAATTAGTTTTCAGATATATGTTCTACAGGTACTAATGAATAAATTATTGCTGTTCAATTGTTTATATTGTATTTCCATAACAAATAAACTATTATCTAAAATCTAACTAATATGAATATTTCTCAGACTGAAATTGACAACTTATAAATTTGATATCACTGTTTAACAATCCTGATGATATAAAACAGCCTATTATTCCTCGCTTTTTTGAAAGATAGTCTACTCTCTATACTGCATAATGGTAAGATAGAAACAAAGGCCTTAACAGTTTTCTTACCTAGAGCAAAGGCATCACAGCCGAATGCATTTTAGTGAATCATACAACTCCTTTTCTAACTCGTATGTCTTATATCTTGACTTGAACTATAGGACCATTTCTTAAGAGGAAGATTTTGTTTAGTGTATATGCTCCTTGGAGCTCATTTTAACATGTTTAACATGTTGGAATGCTAATTTTTTTCTCTCTCCCACCCCCACCCCCCTTCCAGGCTGGCGCATGGCCTCTAACTCAGGCTCCTTCATCAACATTTGCAATTCCTCAGGAACTGGAAAAAAGTGTACAGATGGTAGGTTAGTAGTTTCTTGCAAATTTGTAGCAAATTTAATAATACTTCATTAAAATCTCAAACAAAAAGCTGATAATTGTTATTGTGAGGCCACTGTGTCTGTCAGATGTATACGTAAACCACGGTTATCCAAGCTCCCCAGTTATCTGAAATGTGAATGGGTTCCCCAGATGGAATTCTGATTTTTTTTTTTAAATTCCAAGTTTTCAAATTTTAGCTGTGCCCCTCTAGCTCTTCAAAAAGTTGAAATTTATAGGTACATGTCTCTGAGCTCAAATGCTGATTTCTTATATTCAAGGGGAAAAGATGATCTTTTCTAATGTCAAATCTTAACAGCACACGTAAGTATCTTGTCCTGTGATTCAGAGGAGCCCTTGAAAACCAAGATTCTGACTGTTCTGCATGAAAGCTCTTCTTTCACTTTTCAGAACAGTATGGGTTTGCCCTGTGCTCCTTGCCTTTGTCCAAAAATCTCCATCCACCGCTATTGGCATTCAGAATGCTGTATGATTTGCTTTTTGTCCTAGAAGTGGCATCATTTCAGAGGCCCTGTATTTTTATTACATTCTTGTATTCTAAATTCTAGTGTTATGTACCCTGTATATATTTAAAATATACAAAATATCTTATGTTGACCTCTGTCAACATGTATGTGGGTTGTGAAGCTCATTGGAAAGAAAGCATATAGAAATGAAAAATATTTTGACGTTATCAGATGTACTGAATTCTATAGAAGTGTACATGTACACTTTCAGGATATAATCTTAAATTGATGTCTAATGGAAAACATCTATATTTGCTGTAAAATGTCTTTTTGCTACTCAATAAAAGTGTTTAAAGTGTTTTAATGAAATATTCCAATTTCAACTTTAGTGTATTAAGCAATATTAAATCTTGTAATACATCAAACAAGAAAATATTCTCATACGCTCATTCCACCAATCCTGGCACTGCTGGGAAGTCCCACCCCATGGCTGTTATAACTGATGCAGTTCTCTCTAGAAGATTCTTGGAGGTGAATATACCACCTTTTATTAGAAGGTGGCTCCTCAACATGCTCCTAGTTACACGGCTTCTGCAGCAGCTTTCTCCCTCAGACCTATTAGGAGGCCCCTTTTACTACTGTTATTAAATGGGAACATTTTTATGCTCTTCCTTTTGTGTCTTTCTTCCCTCACTGGCCTTAAGATCCACCAACAGAAATACCCACCCACAAAAGGTCTCCACTGTTAGCCAATGAAAGCAGCTTTGCCAGTCCACTTCTTCACCACTTGCACCCATATTATGCTCCTTTTTCCTATGCTGTCAACAGCTATGCCTCAGCTTGCTAAACTAGCAACACCCCCACTCAGCAATGATTCCAAAGATGTCCCGTGAGGGCAAGACTAAGGAAGAGTCAAGTAGTCCCTACTCCACTTCTGGAATTCCTTCGTTTTTGATTCTCTTTTTAAATAATGGTCTGATTCCTTCTTCATTGCCTTGGGCTTCTGTCTGCTCCCTTTTAGCACTGCCTTTCTTTTCCTCTTCCCAAGAATTTTTATTGTGCTCCAGGTTCTTGAGCCCCCATGTTCCTCAGATAGTACAGTGACAGGAATTGGATATATGAATTAATGGCTACCTTAGTTATGTTTTTGGGCAAAGGCAATGTTTTTCCCTATTTCCCAGGACTCTCCAGTGTAAGGTCCTGCCAGGATTCTTTTTAATTTCTGGACACTGTTCCTCTGGGTTTTCAAGGGCCTTCTCCTTTAGTACGCACCACACTTCTCCAGAGATTCAAAAGCAAAAATGTCTGGGGGAAAAAGACTAAAACCTCAGAAGGTTGTAAGCTTTTGTGAGTTAGATTCAGATATGAACTGAGCACCTTACCTTAGTTGGTGTCTTGTCATTAAAGGCTTGAAAATTTTCTTTTTTCCCTGTTTCCCCGGGCCTCTGAAAATAAAGCCAATAGGGATGCTACCTGAAGCATGTTGCCCACCCCTCGAGACCTTTGATACTGAAAGCTTGAATCCATTTTCAAGGAATTAGGATTGCTGTTCCACAGCCCAGATCAAAGCCACAATATGTCTGGTTACTTCTAGAGCCTCACTGTCTTACCTAAAAGCCTTCAGTAAAATGTAGGTAAAACGTTTCTTAAAGGTCTCTATGATGATATATGCTATTTGAGTTCTGTGCTGTGTTCCACATATAAACAATATTTCAATTGACCATGATTCAGGCTCACTTCACAGGTGGTATGTTCTTTGGAGGAGATCCTATACATCACCATTGAGGAATCCTGAGATCTGAATGAGCTTGAGTTTCCTTGGGTGAACAAGGAAAAAATCCCCAAACCAGATTTAGGCAGATTTGCCTTTCACTCGAAGTATCTTTACTCTCTTTAGAGGTTACTATTCTAGATGCTCTTTCCAGAAGTGCAGGCTTTCAAACCCCATGCTTCTGTCAAGCAACAATGAAGAGTGGTTGGCTCACACCCCACGTCTGCCCATCAAGGAGAGACTAAATCTATGTTCTTTGAGTGCTTGCACGTGTCCATTCCAATGTAGGGGTGTGTGTGCCCTGAGCACAGTTGCTGGAATATTTTTCCCTTAGTGGTATTTGTCAGGTTGGCTCTAGCACCCCCTGGTACTGTGCGCTAATAGCGCCAGGTATAAGGGGCACTGCTGAGCTCACACCCTTCAGTTCCTTCTTACCACCCGTAATGGTTGCTGGAACTTCCCTCGTTGCTTTGGCAATCTTTTCCAGTGGTTTCCTCTCATTTGTTGCGTGTGTGTATATATAGTTATAGTAGCTGGTTAGTTTGAAAATAGTTTTAGTAATCTTTTGTAATCGAACACCTCTAGACTTATTGAAGAGGCTTGTCTTGCTCTTCCTGTAGCAAGTCGATGCCATTGAACGACCTGCACTCCAGTTGCCTAAAGTATTTAGGGGAAGCTCACAGGAAGGATCGCTGTCAGATCTGCAGTGAGTTCAAGCCCCGCACCCAGAAAGACCAGGCAACGAGACTGAAGGTCCTCCTGATGAAGGCAGCCCTGAGGCCAGCATCGGAGCTGCAATCAAACTCTGCATCGAATACCTCTGAGTTGGTATGGAGTGCGTCTCCCGCCAATATAGTCTCTCGGCACTGCTCCTCCTTGCCCAAGAAGAGGCACCACAGGTACTGAGACAAAAGTTGCTCCCGGATACCGAAAGGGAGCAGGCAAGGGGACAGGAATAGTGCGAGACTCATGTCATGCCGATTTGCCTCTCTGGCACTGCTGCAGCCCCCACCATCAGCACTGGCACCGACTCTTGTTCCACATACCCCGTCGAGGGATGCACCATCCTCCAGCAGGCAGCGTACCAGACAGTTTGCTGTACTGTCCACTCTGGAGATGTATGTGGCAGCTAGGGACTTGCTCATGCTGCCGGTACCAGGATCCCCTGACATCCAGGACTCAGTGTTGTCGAGTGGCAAAGAACCCTCCCCCAGTCTCCAAATGGCACTGAGACCACTCTCCAGGGGTAAACCCCCTCTACTTGCCTCACCCTGGGTGTCCCCACAGAACTGCTCACTGGCACTGGGAGGATCTGCACCTCCATGGTCCCCTCATCTTGGCTCATCTTCGTCATCGGGGTCGGAGGTGAGGTCCTATTTTTCCCACTGCTGGGACCGCCCATGCTAGTCCCCGCGCCAGTCCTACAATTACTGGGCCATCTAGTGCAGTGGTGTCTTCGAACACGTGGACAACGGGGACAGGCACCGATGCAGTAGCCTTTTTGGAACCTATTGGGGTTTCTGCCAGGCCAGGGCACCATCTCAAGGCATTCTTATTCGGTAGCCTCAGAGGGTAGGGCACCTCTGATTCCGTGCTGCAAGACACCAGACTTGGACTCTGCTGTTGAGCCCAGTACTGAGCCCGGTACCAAGCTGCTGGAGCATGTCCCTCAGGTCACTGCTGACATAGAGGAAAGAGCAGAGTCCTTACCTGCCTCCTCCTCTTCTTCCCTAGGTGAGGCGCTGGTGGCTACCAGGGTATCCCCACCCCAGGATGACCCCAAGGCCCACCAGGACTTATTAAAGCAGGTGGCCTTGAATTTGAGCATCCAGGCCGAGGTGGTGGCAGAGACCGCACATGGCCTTCTGGACATTTTGGCAGTGGCAGGCCCCTCTGGAGTGGCTCTTCCCCTTAATGAGGCAATCATGGAGCCCGTTAAGGCTCTCTGGCAGATGCCCGCCTCTCTCCTGCCAACAGCTAAACCGGTGGAGCAAAAATATTTTGTGCCTGCTAAGGGCTGCAAATTCCTATTCTCTCCCCCTACCCCTGGGTAGCTGCTAATGATACGGACCATCAAGGTCAAGCAGGGCACACACCTAAGGCGAAGGGTCCCAAAAAGCTGGACTTGTTCGGCAGGAAAGCCTGCTCCACAGGGAGAGTGCAGCTCTGCATAGTCAACCAGCAAGCCTTGCTAGGTTGCTATGTTTTTAACATGTGGGAAGCAATGCAAAAATTTAAGGACATGTTTCCCCAGGGTGCCAGGCAGGAGTTCTCTTCCCTTGTAGAAGAAAAGAGAGTGGCCCGGGCCTCCCTGCAGGCAGCCTTGGACGCTGCTGATTCCGCGGCCAGATCAATGGCCAGAGCTGTCACTGTGTGCAGGAGCTTGTGGTTACAATCCTCTGGGTTTCCTCAGGAAGTGCAGCAGACACACCAGGACCTTCCATTTGAAGCAAACAGATGCTAATTTGCAGATGGTTTATAGTCCTTACGACTATAAGGCAACTTTGAAATCCCTGGTCCTGTATTCACCTGCAGCATCTAGAAGGCATTATAGGCCCCAGAGATCTGGGCGTTTCTTCTCTCCACTGCCCAGACACCTCCAGAGGAGGAGAAAGAACAAGGCATTCATGCCGTTGCAGTCTGTCCCTTTGAAACACCCTTCACTTCAGGATCCAGTTACCCCTGTTTTTCCCAACAGTCTGTCCCATTTCCTGAGTGCCCGGAACCACATTACCTCGGACCTTT